TGATGTAAGTTTTACAGTCTTATACATAAAATAGAATTCTGCAATATACAAACTATGAACTTTGTGGTCTTTTTACTATTACTGTTCTGCAGCTTAGAGTCTCACTGATGACAGAAAAATGATTCCAAAGACTTAAAAAAATAATCACCTTTACTGACCATCTATTGGGAATTCCGTCACTAAATAGTCCAGTTGACAGATAACCCTGGTTTTTCTTGTAGTCCTTTAACATTTTTGGCCTTAAGGGCCAGAGGTGATGAGGAAGTTGGGAGGTGCTCAACATGTTAGATGAATAGAGATTGTTAATGAGTTGGGGGCCTCCTTCCGAATTTCCCCTTCATTGTGTTTGTTGTTCTTTTAATTATTTCTTTACTCTCTAGTCACGTGTCTTCACATGACGCTCATGTGAAGACTGAGGGATTTGCCCATCTGGGCTGAGTGTAGTTTCTGGATGAGTGATTTTCTTTCTCACCATCCCCTTCACTTTTGGCTTTGTAGGGTGTACTGTAGCCAGAATAAAAGGCTGTCTGCATCTTGCCTGGCAGATATCATAGAGCCATCTATTTTCACATTGCTTTTTGAGTCTTGTACTTCTGGGAAAACATGTGAGGGATTATGGTTCCTCTATACATAACTATGATCCCCCCAAATGAAAGATCAGAAATTAAAAAAGTATCTGGCACTATTTTTACTTTCCCTTATGTTTATATCATTGTTGATAATAATTACTTCAAGACATTATAGACATTAAACAAAATTGAAAGTTAGTAGATAGACGTTGTATATGTTCATCACACTAAAGAAATGAGTGACGAATAATCATAAGCATGTAAGAAAAGTGTGTAATTTTCAGCTACTTTAGATGGGTGTATATTCACTGTTTGGAGATTCAAGTCTTGAACCCCGTCCCTAACAATCCTACTTTGGAGGTACCTGATGGTATTTAGTAGGCTCCACAAAGTGCAGGACAGAATATGCGTATTTCTTCACCTTTCAAATGCTCATTAATGATTTAGTCATTTTTTGCAATTAAGGCTTGGTAAGTATTCCCAGGACTTATCTTTCAGAAGGGAGTGTAAAATATATCCTATACAATAAAATGGATTTTGAGCACTTCCTCGTGATTTTTCTTTCTGGTCCAGAGAATAAATCAGGAATATAAATGGCCGTTCTGTGCCGAAAACTGACATATTCCTTCCCCTGATTTTCCATGTGCTGTCATAAGTACCTTCTGATTAGTAATAAAAAGGAGACCTTTTAATAATAGAAGCTAAGTTCTGCAGTGCAAATTAATTGTACATGTCCATGACATATATAATAAATCCTGTTTTTTTCATTTCCTTTAGAATGTTATCAGCTGTAATTCTAGCTTGAATTAACTCAAGTGTTTCCTGTGAGCATTAACCACTGTATTAGTTACTTTTTTATTGCTGTGGTAAAATGCTCAGAGGAGACAAAGTTTACTTTGGCTTGCAGTTTGAAGAGTTACCATCCATCATGGCTGGCAAGGCATAGACCGGCAGGAGTTTGTGGTGCTAGGCACACATACCAGCTCTACAATGTGGAAGCAGAGAACTTACAGGACCTTCTTCAGTAATAGGAAAGTTCAAGACCCTTCCCAGGACTTTGCACCTAAAGAAAAGGCTCTTCCTCTCAAAGGTTTCCCAAGCCTCGGGACCACTGGAGGAAATGAGTATTCACAAATGAGCTGACAGGGAAACATTTCACATTTACACATTGAAAAATCTGATGCCGTAAAAGCTCATAATCATTTTTAAAATCCACTTGCTTTGATACCTTAGAAACATTTTGTCGAATGGAGACCTTGGTTTCTCTTTTAATCAGTGTCTGCCTTGTGAGTTGAAGGTTGGAAAGAACTGTTAGTAGTGGCCATGTTTTTAATACTTGCTATCTATTGTTTGATCTCACTTTAGAGCAATGTATTTCCTTGTAGTATCAAATTCCTCTAATTTCCTACCTCCATGCTTTTTATATTCCTCTGGAGAGAACCCTTCCAGGGCATGACCTGAAGAATTCTGGTTCATATTTCCAAATGAATCTGAACCCAAGTGAATCTGTAATTTGGTGGAAGGCTCTTCCATTAAATACTCTAGTAAGGGAAGTTTTACTGTTTCGTACCAGACTTGGGTACTTCTCTTGACATATTGAGTTTGAACTTTGACATTTATGAGAACATAAACTGCATTGACACATTGTAACATGCCACAAGTCTAGCACAGCCTTGGCTCAAGGTTTGGTTTTGTATTTGAGGTTTTTCTTTACTTTCTTTATAACTTCCATTAAACATAGTAGTGTTTCTGATTATTTTTCCTTCAAACATTAGCATGATATGCTTGATTCTCCAGAGAGATCTTATCTCTAGTTATTTCTATAATTTATATGTCTGCATGGGGTATGTCTTTAGCTTTTTATGTGTCTTGACCAAAGTGCAAATTCAATTTAATAAGAGAGGCCAATTGGCTTTCTTTTTTAAAACCTGACTCTGGTTCTCTAATTGAGAGACTTAACTCGTGTTTTCTGTTTGTTTCCTCTTTCTCTGTCTTCTTGTTGTCTGAAAGATTTATTAACCATACAGCTTTAAGAGAACACTATCCCTCTCTGCTTTTTTCCATGTATGTGTGTATTTCATGTATATAAATGCACACGTGCATGTTGCATATGTGTGGGCACATGTGTGCACACATGTTTGAAGGCTAGAAGCTAAAGTTGGATGCCTACCTCAATTGACTTCTCTATATTGAAGCAAGGTATCTTACCTGAACCCAAAGCTCACTAGTTTGCGTATGTGTAGTTAGCCAGCTTTTTCTGGAGCTCTTCTCCATCTCCTCCTTTTGTGGACTGAGGTGACAAATAGACTGCCATGTCCACTTGGCACCCATATGGGTTCTGGGAATCCACACTCATATCCCCATGGTTGTAGCAACCCTTTACCTACTGGGCCTTTCCTCTAAGAAGAAGATTGCCTTTTAAAACAGACTGCATAGCCCATTAGTGTTGGTGTCCTTCCACTGCTAATGCTTTCTGTGTCATCTGAAATTAAGCCTGGCATCTTCCCATGGTGTTTAATCTTTAATCTGCACATGTATTGACTAGACAGAGCTCAGTCGAAGAGCTTCTTGTATCTTGTCATCTGCCATGTGGGCTGGCCTGCTGAAGCAGCGTGGTCCAAAGAGGGAGAAGAAAATGAACATTATGTTTTGATGACTAGTTGACATTTGGTGTCCCCTGCCAACAAGTTGACTGAACCTGGTCTTTGGTGATTGGCAGCAACCAAGTTTATCTGTTAGATTCGGGGTGAATTCTGTTTCTATATGACAGCTCTGCTACTCCTGGGATAGAAGACTCTCTCTGGTTACAGAGGGCACTAGAGAACCCATTACTGGAGCTGGATAGAGTCTCAGCCTAGCATAGGGAAGGCCCTAGTGTAATGTTCAGTACAACCCCCAAAAGATGTCTGTATGAACTGTAAGATGTTAATTTAAAAAAATAGTCTAAACCCAGTGGCTATGAACTGTGATAAACTATTATATTATTGTAATTATGGGAAAAGTCTAGCCTGGCCACAACCTCATTTCTTGCACCATTATGATTGAATTCTGACTGTCCCTTGATCTTTCTCTTTATTTCCACTTTTTCTTTATTTTCATCTCTCTCTCTCTCTTTTTTTTTTTTTAATTCCCTAAGTTAAAATTTCAAGTGGGAGCAATGAGTTACCTGAGATTAGATCATGTGCCCACACTGGTTCCCATACAGCAAGGAGAGAAATATTGTGAGATCTGTCTGGGTGCATGAGCATCAGTATGCGTGCTTGCATGTGTGCATGGGTGTGTTTGCATGTGTGCATAGAGAGAGAGAAATAGAGAAGTGAAAACAAATTTATTCAGATGTGTGCTGTGTATGCATACAGGTACACACATATGCAGATAGGCAGAAGCCTGAGGAAGACATCCCATGGCCTCCCCTATCACTTTCCAACTCATTGTTGGAGACAGCATCTCTTACCAAACCAGGAGCTCACCTCTTAGCTATGCTGGCTGGCTAGCAAGCATGCAACATCCTCCTGTACCTACTTCCCGTGCTGGGAATACAGCAATGCCCTACCACACCATGTGGGTATGTGGGTGCTAGGAACCTGAATTTGAGTCCTCATTGTCTGACAGCAAGCACCTTGCCCAGTGAGCCATCTCCAAACCCAATTACATTGTTTCAAAATGTTACTAATTTTAGTTAGCATAACACAATTACATACATCATCATATTCTGTTTATATTCATTTCCGGCAATACCATCCTCATCTCTCTCCCTGCATAGTTCTCTTTCTGTTTCCAAGTCGTGTGTGTGTGTGTGTGTGTGTGTGTGTGTGTAAAATAAATATGTAATTTCTTAAATCTTTCAAATGTTGAATATGTTTCTTTTTAAAATGCACAGCTAGGGGCTGAAGAGTTGGTGGTTTTGAGTGTTTATTGCTTTTTGCAAAGGACCTGTTGAGGTCCCAACACCAGTGTACTGCATCTCATAACTGTCTTAACTCCAGTTCTAAGGGATCTAACACCCTCCTCTGGCTTCTTTGAGGACCTGCATGCACATGGTGCACACAAACTTACACAAATACACATACATGTATATAAACATACTTTTTAAATCATAGCTAAATACTCTGACAATTGATTTTTTTTATTCTTTTTCCTGGGTGATCAGTTTGTAACTGGCGAACCTAAATGTATTTGAGTTATCTTGAAAAGGAAATCATCTCTTCCTATGACAAACATGTAGATACAAATTAGCAGTACCTACCCAAATGGGATTATGCTAGGATACCATTTGTGATACTTTAAAATAATGGTAAGTTATTTTATTTTATTTTATTTTTTTTATGGGAACATACTATTTAATCACTGTGGCAATACGTTTTAAGTTGGCGTCACTGATGCTCAGTACCTCAATCTTAATATATAATTACGTTGTCTTTTCTTTGACAGACAAGCTAGCCTCAACGAAGCGGCTGAGAAGTATTACGACCTGGCAGCCAGACTGAGACCGAATGTAAGTTCTTTACCCAGTGGGCACCATCATTGATGGCGTGGTCCTAGGGCGTGCAGTGGTGACTGCCACCCATGCTGCCTTGTTTTTCCTTTCCCTCCCTGGGTTCGCAGTTTGAACGTCCACTGTGCACCTCTTCTAATGTCACACCTCTCATGCGGTTCAAGTTTGTCTCCCCCAGAACTCTCTCTTTCCCCCTTTGTAGACCACCATTACCTTTCGTTATCTCAATGCAGGTTTGTTTGATCATTGCTAAATACCTTTCATTTGGGTGACTCTTCAGATTAATTCCTTGGAAGCTTTTTTTCCTGTGTTCTCTATGATAAACACTTAGTGTTTGTCTTCCACCACGTTTAAACCTTCAGCTGTGTATCTGCTTCATATTCTAAAATCCTCATTTTTTTTTTAAAGTAACTCGGCTTTGCAAGTTTATCAATAATGTTTTCATTACAAGTTTTCCCTGGGTAGTCGCACTTCCAGAAAGTAAGATGGATAGAAATTAGACCATTACTGTTAGAATAGAATTACTGTTTATAGGCAGCCAAGAGCTGCTTTTATAGCAGGCTGACAAGCAGGATTTTTCACAGCACTGAATTCCTGTATTGGACATTTATTCTCATATGCATTCTGAACCACTGTCCAACAGCGAAACCTTCTCCCCTGCTCTCCAAATGTAGACCATGCATTTCAGAAATGCAATTTTCAAACAGTAATGCAAGTCCATGTGTGGGTGCAGTACAAATAATGGGATCAGTCTTACTTCTTTACTGTGTTACATCTATTGGGCAAATACATGTAAAGGGGCTGCTTGGAGAAGGAGGCCCAGGTTCCAGACTCTGAAGTCAACAAATAGATACAGCTCTGTGACTCCTATGGAGGTATAGTCTTGAGAGAATAGAGACTTTTGAGGATCCTGTATGTTTCTTTGTTTTTGTAAGATTTAACCATGATGAGCTTACCCATGCACATAAATCTCAGGTTTCATTAATAGTAATATATTACAATATAAACTCAGTGAAATAGGTTGAGAATGAATAACAAGACAGATTAGCAGAACAAAAGCGTACTTATTTATTGAAGAGCTTATGACAAAGGAATCTTCAGAAATGAAGACTCAAAGAAGGAGAGGGCCAGAGGAGGAGAAGGAAGGTTTGTGTGGTTTTTGTTTTGTTTTGTTTGTTTTGTTTATGGCCATTGTTGTTCAAATATAAATGGCAGACTAGGATTTGTGATTCAGAAGTAATAGAAGGAAGGGCAGGTTGAGAAGTAATGCATAAGGCAGCCTACAGCAAGGTCCAACTGCTCAGCTTCTACTGTGTCCCTCTCCAGAGATAAAGATGTAAATGCCTGCCTTAGCGCTTCCATCACGGGAGAGAACAGGGACAGGCCATAGGACCATGGAGCTTCTGCGCGCTACTCAAGCCCGTATATTCACTTTTCCCAGGCACCATGTTCTGCAAGGGCTGTTCTGAACCACTTCCCATAGTTACCACATAACTGAGGAATTGCCAAGCGGTTTCCAACAGGAGGAAGTAGTCCAATGATAGCTAAAGTTTCTTGTACACTGGTCACTCTTTGCTAGATACGTGACGAGAGTTTGCCCATTGCAGCTCGCAGTTGCCTTGGTGGCGTCAACAGTGCTGAAGGGTGGAGAAGCTAACGCTTAGAGTTACTTTGTCATTTAGCCTACTGTCTGCAAAGCTTAATGACTTTTAGAGGGGCGGGGGTGAGGAGGCTGGACAATGAGAGGAAATGCACATCATTTATCCGGCAAAGCAGCACAGCAGTCATCTCGCTTACTTATTTTATGTGTTTACTAAGTATCAGGTACTACGTTAGGCGCAGGACACAGAGCCTCCCTATCAGGAACTCAATATCTGGACAGAAGAAAGGGAAGGCATTAGGAAACTATATCATCTCTCAGGCAGTGGGGTGTGTCTGGAGGAAGCTGAAGCAGTCCTGGGCTTAGAAAAGCAACAGAACATAACCTTTGTAAACGTTTGATACCTCTGTGTAGAATTTTAAATGGGCGTGTTAAGTAGGAAGTCTCAAGGCCCCACTGTAGCACTGAAGGCAAGCAACCAAGGTTATCCTTCTCCATTTATGTTGCTCAGTATGTTCCAAACATGTGCAAACTACTGGAGTCACTTTTATATTTGCTGTATGATTGGTTGAAGGATGGTCTTTATTACAGTATGATGGGATAGGGAAAAACAAGTGTCTGAGTTAACGAGCCTCTAAAACAGAAAAAGGCATCTAGGTACCCGAGACCGCAGGCCTGACTTCAGGGCTTGCTTTTTTTTTTTTTTTTTTTTTTTTTTTATGACTAGCCAAATCATAAAATCGATATTTAATCTTCAATGCAAAGCCCTTTTCCCCAAGAGACCCCCCCCCAATATTTCATCCCAAATGTGCTACAGATTGCTTTTGAAAATGCCTTTTATTCAAATGATTCTTTCCATGTCTGGCAGGAATACTTTTTAATGGGATTTGCTATAAAGTCCACAGTTTAACAAGAAGTAAATGATACTATAATTAATAGGTCAACAGATGTGCATTTTTCCCGATTAATTTTCTGACCGTTTGGCTTTTCGGTTGACGTACATAAAGTGTCACTGAGGCCAGAATGATGGAATTACAAACCATGCCAATAATGCAATTCTCTTGTGAAATGGAGAACTATTTGAGCGACTTAAGCCTGCATCTGATCTAAATAAAAGCACCTGCCTAACATTTATCTTGCTGCCCCTTCCCTTTGTTCATCAAAGCTTTCTTGGCCTGGACACACTTCCCTGCACACAAACCCCATTGTCAGTTACCTGACGATAGGAGAGCTAAGGGATACCAATTCTCCTTGCCTGTTTAAAAGGCCCCCTTTTCCTGTCCTTTCTAAGCGTACTCATCTACACAAGCAGCCAATCTTACTCTCACTTTTCATGGAGTCTCTCTTGTGTTTGCTTCAGTAAATACGGTTACCACGGTCCTCGTCAGGATGCTGTATGAGAGGCAACTGAAAATCCAACAGCGCTTACATTGAGGTCCTAACTGCAGCATAAAGGGGGTGGCTTGGGTGATGCCTGGGATTACCGCCATCTTTAAAAAGTGATTGGTGGGGCCGGGGAAATGCTTCAGTGGTTAAAGACACGACTTCCCCTCCTAGCAGACACTTCAACACAACCTCAGCTCCTGCTCCAGGGACACCGCCCTCTTCTGGCCTCTGTGGGCACTCTACCCGTGGCCACAACCTCCACTCTCGCCCACCCGAACACGTGCACACAATTTACAAAACAATCTTTCTTTTAAGACTTTTATTTCTCAGATCTATGTCTTTCTTAATAAAGTACTGATTTCATTCCTTTTACCAGGCCCTGCCTTTTTATTCTACAAAAGCATAGTGCTCTGCATAATTTATTTTGAAACGGATGGACCTTTCACAGTGTAACTCGGGTGATGAAACAGGGAAACGATGAAAGCAATGTAGATGATTAGGAGCAGTGTATAGTTTTATATTTAGCTGTGTCTGCCTCAGCAGTGTTCACTATGCTGCCTTACTGACGTGCGTGAGGAGAGAATTGTAATGGTTGACAGCACACACCATAGATAATGTTTCCTACAGCGAGGCATGCTGTGTCTTAAAAACTTACTTAGTTGATAAGCTGGGGAAATCTCTCTAAAAGTAGATTATGTTAAGGCACTTTAACAATAAAAACAGGTTTCATCGGTGTTGGCATTTTAGGGTTTGTGAGTTTTCATTTTTATAAGTAAGTTGGGCTCTGCATGCAGTCAACTCTGTGATAGCCGTTTTCTGTCTACCTTCCCCCATCCATTTGTGCACACCCCAGACTGCTGACTCTCAAGAACTAGCGGGAGCATTTAAAGGAAACTACTTTGTTCCTTGATTGGGAGTGAAGCCAACATCTGCATTATCTTGGGGATGAAAGGATTGAATGTGAGGAATGAGGAATTTGTATGGGACAGAGCCACCTACCTTTGCTTTGCTTGACATCTCATCCACTCTGGAGTCCATAGGACAAAATTACCAGTGCTTGGGTTTTCAGGGCAGACTTTTTTATGTATCGACTACACTCATTCCAGTCAATTTTAATTCAAATGTCAACATTATATACGACTTTGTGTCTAATGGAATAGAGTTCCCAAGTTACAAAAATTTAACTCTGACCTTGGGAAACATACAATGTAACGTAAGAAAGCAGGAGAGGAAAGAACATGTAAATCTCAGATCTCAACTATCAGGGCAGTAAATAATGCTACCTAATAAGGGTTTTGTGGGGATATAAGCTGGGTGCTAAAAGAAAAATGGATAGGAGAAATTACTTTCATTTGAGTTGATCTAAAAGTTGGAGTAAGAATGTTTAAAGTAGCTTGGAATGATAGAATTTTTGTAGGATATTTCAGCAAGAAGAGGAGGAGAAATAATTTTGGCAGTGGGATGGATTCATACTCATACGAAGAGGCAAAGAGAACAGTAGGAAATTAATAACTCGTGTAAAACAGATGAAAACATTGAGCATCATATGTAAATATCAGAAATCTGTGATGTTGACAATGACATAATGAAAGCAGTAGTTAAGATGACATGACAATGTATATTATGTTCAGGGAAATAGGATTGAGAGACCCAGCCTTGATGGGACCAAATGAAAGATGATTCTAAGCTTATGGCAGTCAAGAGTAAAAGCAGGAATAGAGTGGAATAGAAACAGCATCCATAATCTGAGTAGGAAGATTAACTGTTCACATAAGAGCTTCAGATTTTGAATTTAGGTAACTTGGAAACAAAACACCATAGACAGAAATAAGATCATCAGAGGGGTATCTTCTTTAATTTCTTTCTTTAAAGCCACAAAGTTCTTATTATATAGGTCTTTCACTTGTTTGGTGTTACCCAAAGATACTTTATGTTGCTTGTGGCTATTGTAAAGGGTGATGTTTCTCTGATTTCTTTCTCAGCCTCTTTGTTGTCTGAATATAGTAGGGCTACT